GGTTATCAAAATTATATAATATTAAATTATTGTCAGCTGTATGTATAACATATATTTAATTACGCCTTACAAAATTACAGCATAGAGATGCAGGCGCGGACGGTGGCGACCAGTCTCTAATCTCGTTCGGCTCCTGCTTGGAGGAGTTCGGCGTTAGGCCGTTTATTGAGTGCCGCGGCTTTGGCTTTTGCAACTATTTCGCCACATCGTACTGGCTGATAACCATTCACGACGAAAACATGTTCCGCAACAGAGTAATTCCTTTATTTTAAGTATCAAAAGAATTTAAACGAGATATAGGAAATGATGTAGAAAAAAACTTCAGTAATATATTATATTTTCTTTCTTTTTCTACATTATAAGCAAAATTAAAAGAACAGTACAAGTTAATTTATGCTATAACTCATTCTCATCCATTATAATCACTAGACAACTTATAATACAATACAGTACATAAGTTACATTCTATCATATGGCTGTCTTCTAAAAAACATAAAGAAAAAGCGCTCTACTTCTATTTTTTATGTAACATATCAATATGTAACATGTTATATATATATATATATATATATATATATATATATATATAATATATATTATATATATATATAAAAAAAAAATTATATATATATATATATATATATATATATATACTTTTACAAACTACAGTATCACGAATCGCATAAACTTAATGTTAGATCCTAGAATTACTTTACGGATGTGAATTTTGATAAGCCCTCCACTAGGCTAACATAAGCTGTATGCTCGTAGCATGTGCTCAAATCGATCAGTTTCTCTGCAAACTCATTTGAAATGCCTTTCTCCTCGAGGTAGTTCATCAGTAGGTCGTACAGATACTGTAAAATAAATAGTGCTATATTTAATATAATAAAGAAGCTTAATTAACACTTATATGGGATTGTCTTGTTTGTGCCTATGACTGGTTATAGAAATATTAACTATTATAGAAAAAAGAGAATTAAGGAAACATATTAGTAACAACTAAAGATTTAAAATATGTCACAATCTTAATTCAACGCACACATGAAAGAAGATCATGAATTAGCTTTATAAGACTGTTTATAATTTCCCAAAGATCAATAATCAAAGTAACGATTAATTTTTTAAAACTTTTAAGTATCAAAGCGATATTCTAGAAAAACAAAGTACCGGTTATTAAGTTTCTGAAGATTAACGATATTTATCACTATATAAAATTAATTAATAACGTTTTTAATTATTAATTATATTAATTTTTGTTAAATAATTATCATGTTAGAAAAAAATAAAGATAGGATATAAATACTATAAATACCATCGATGATCTCACCAGCTACAGAGTATACCTTATTGCTGTGTTCTCCTTCATACAGCGTGATTTCATTGATGCCAAATATGTTATCTGCAAAAAAGAAAGTTAAATTACAATTTGAAAAAACATTAAAGAAACAAATAATATAAACTAATAATACAACAAATGAAATCGCATATCGATTTTATCTGTAGCATTTAATTATAATATACGGAAGAGTGATTTCACAACACCAAGAAATAATTATCAAGATAAAATTAAGAGGTCTTTTTGTATTCAATATTTTAAAAGAGAAGATATAACAAGTGTACATACTATAATTATCATCTGCACCCGATGCACCAGGTTGATTATTAAAAAAACACGTGAAGCCTAGAGTCTGATTACCCCTCACTATATCTACTGTAAAAGTCGGTTTGCTCTTCATTTCGCCAAGTTCTACATTATCACTAGTAGGATTCGTTTCCTCTTTGGCATCCACATGCACTGATGTATAGTTCACGTTAAACGAAATATGAATACTAGAAAAAAATAGCATAGATTTAATATATCAAAAATGTATGGAATAATCCATAAGTCGATATGGCAAAATTTTCTATATCTTATAAACAATATATCTTATAATCTTACAATATATATCTACGTATCTGTATAATTTCCACCAAATCCTTTCTCCGAAATCATTAAAAGCTTTTCAACGTTAAATATATGAATACTAACCTCTTCACGATAAACATTTTCGGAGCATGTTGTCATGTCGAGTCATGTAGAATTTTCACACTACTGCCGATAATGGT